TCCCCTAATCAATCAATCAAACAGCACAGAAGAAGAAGAAGAAGAAGAAGAAGAAGAAGAAGAAGAAGAAGAAGAAGAAAAAAAAGCAATTACCTTTGCAAAATTTTTAGGACTCTATACAAATATATATGTATATATATACAGGGTTGCCGGCGTTCAGGACGGGCCGAACGCCCGAACATTGGGGAACCCCTCTCGACACGTTCGGCCATAAGAATAAACTAAACAACATCTGCCTCAACGTTATCTCCGAATTCTTTACCAGATTTGAAATAAAAGTCAACTAAAAATAAATAATAATGATAAAAATTAGGGGAAAACAAACGAGAATGAAATTATTGAGCGGGCGAGCAAATTTTTGACACCGCCATCTTTGGCGATTTTTGGGTTTTGTTTTGGCTGTGACAAATGCCATGCAAATTTACATATCTGTAGCTTACATAATAGAGAATTTACAAATAAAATTTGAAAAAGTAATAATTTTTTTCATGCCCCGAAATAAAGGAAAAACAAAAAGTCAGAAGAGAGAAAAAACAAATTTAGTGAGCGGGCAAGCAAGTTTTGACACCACCATATTTGCCGATTTTTCATGTTTGTTTGGCTGGACATAATGGCTCCACAATTTACAGGGAGATACCTTACATCACAGAAGTATCGCACAAAAAAATTAAGAAAACAATAATAATATTTAGGTGCCAAAATATTTTTTTGCGGGGTCTGAACCCTTTCAGGTTCAGGGCCAACAAATGGCGCTGTAAGGCTTTCAAAACCCTACAAACCCATCTATATATATATATTTTTCACTTATTTTTTGACACCAAAAAAAAAAATCCAAAAAGGCCGGGGGTGTCACATAGCTGCTTGGCAAAGAGCCAAGCGCCAATACAGGCCTTCCCTTTTTTTTTTTTTTTTTTTTTTTGTTGTTGTGTGTTTGTGTGTGTGTGTGTGTGCTGGGAACCGGGCCAGCGTCCCATTCACGAACATAATAAGAAACATCTGCAGAACAATTTGAGATACCCGGGCCATTAACCCGCTTCGGCTAGGAATGATAGCTGTGCAGCGCTGCTTGGCATGTGAACAACAGTTCTGTGCTGAAGGTTTTTCCTAAGGCTTTGTATCAGCATTTCTGTTTTAAGGATGACGGGCTCGCTTCCCAGCAGGTGCGGTTCCCCACCAATAAGATCGGACCCATCCGCACCGAGCTGGCAGTCGGGGTCGCTCGTACCACACTATCAGGTCTGGTTAAAAAAAAAAAAAACACCCGAAACAAATGAAAGAAAAAGGGACACCGGGAGCAGTTCCCAGCATGTATTGCTCACCAGGAATAGATTGGAGCAATGTTCCTTGGGGGGAAAAAAAAGACGGAAAAACGTTTATGTCATATGGGAGTTCGTAATGGGGCAGAAAAAACAGGCAGTCTGCAACTTTGTCATGGCCTGAGTTTGAAAAGGTGGTTGTAACTCAGGCCAGCAGTGGTGTCAGGGTGGCGGTTTCGTTAAGGCGGTTGTTTTTCTTTTCTT